ATGTGTTATTGCTTGACCATCATTGAATTGTCGACAACAACTATCTTATGCAAGAATTAAGATGAACTTTCCTGGGCCTGGTGTAAGGATTTGGTCCTTATTTACGTCCTTAATTACGTCATCAGCCTTTGCCAGCTTCCCACCCTAAAAAGCGGGTGGGCCCTCTGTGGGCTCTCTGTCCCCTCTCCTTTCCGCTCCTTTCCCCCGTCGGCCCCCCTCTCCCCCGCCCCCCGAGTCTCTCTCTCTCTCTCTCTCTCTCTCTCTCTCTCTCTCTCTTGTGTCTTTCTCTCTCTGTCTCTCTCTCCCCCCGCCCCAATAAAGCTCTAAAAAGGTAACCATGGCTGTGATTCTTTTAATCAGCATGCTCCTCCACCGGCATGGCCGCCCGCGGAAGAAGAAAATGTAGCAGAGAATGGAAAGAGTGGCCAGGACAGACCATGGCCAGATTCCTCAGGCGCTATGCCATGAGAGGTGGTGGTGAGGGCTATGACTCGCGGGGCCTGGCCTGCTCGGCTTCCTTTATGTCTTGCTTCAGAGCTTCTGAGACACAGGACAGTGTACAAAGGAGAGCCAGGCAGTCTTGACCACATAGTTGTTTTCTGGTGTTTGGAACCAACTGTTTATTTTTCATTCCAAAAATATAGAAGAACAATGCACTAATACAGTTTTAGAATCAGAGGGGCCTTTAAAAGTATTCTATCCCTATAATTTATCACTTAAATGAGGAAAATGAAGCTGAAACAAGTCAAGCACACCCACTGACTTAGTTCCGGAGTTGTGAAGTTTTAGGATTGCAGCATCAAGCTTCTCATCCATATTTACTGAGTTTTATGAGAGGAGTGAGTTCAGGACAAAGGTCAAGTCTTTAATGCAATCAGAAGCTGTAGAAAAGAAACCATCTGGTCCATAGTGTAGAAGATGAATGTCTGCTATGAGGACGAACTGAGAAAGGCTAAGAGTGGCTGAGTTGGGAAGCTGTTGCATCAGTTCCAGGGTGAAGTGATTATGTTTGGAAGAGGGAAGGAGGTGAAAGGCAGCTGTATTTTGAGGTTGATAGTCCAGATTGATGGATTGAATGTGCAAATAGAAACATAAGATGATTTGACGCCTGTGACTCCAGGAACATGTAGATGTAGGAAAAGTGTCTGAGAGCTAAGTGTAGAGTAAAAGTGGGACTGAAGGTTTGGAGACTCGAGATGGAGGGACAGTGGGGAGAAAGTTAGAGTTGAAATAAAGATTTCTTCATTTGTTCTTGTATCAACTGCTAAACTACTTTCTTCAGATTCCTAAAGTGTGGTCTACTTCCCTGCATCCTGCTCTAGATCACACAGCAGTTCTTTGCCCCAAATACTTCCTTAAAAATGATACTTTATTAGTCATTTTTCTATTGCTTTGCTAAGATTTCCAAGATATTGATGGTCAATATGTAATGAGGAAAGTTTTATTTTAGCTCATGGATTCAGAGTTTTCTTCATAAGTTGCTCAACTCTGTCTTTTTTGCCTATGGTGTCACAGTACATTAAGCCTGGAATATATGATACAGGATGCTTGTACACCTCATGGCAAGTGGGAGGAAGGTGCCTCCTGTCCTAGTATTCTCTATGTCTCAGTGCCCAAATAGCCTCATGAGGAAATTTCACCACCTTCTGGCACTTTCATAGGCTATAGACTAAGGGTTTAGTATATAGGCCTTTGGGAAATATGTAGACTTTGTATAGTAGATTCCATGACCAACTATATCAGTCTTCTACTTTATGAAGAGAAAGTAAGAAATAAGTTCCAATTATGTTTGCCTTTTATCATACAAGAATAGGCTTACAGATCCTAAACATTCCTGTTACTCAGTTTGGAAAGCCAGTTTAGAAAGTTTCATCTACTTGGAGTGAGAGGGTAAAGGGATGTGTGCATCTCAGGTTGCACTGAAGTAGGTGTGAGATGGAAGGGCATCCCTTTCAGGCATGCTGGTGTGTAAGTACTCAATCTACAACCATTTCTTGTTACTTCTGTGTTCTGGGTACTGTTCTGCATAATGGGAGTATTGCAGGGAAGGAAATAAAGTTCCTGAATTTCTGAAAGCTACATTCTAGAACACTGACTATTTAAATACCATGTTAAAAAAAAAAAAAAAACAACCCCCAAACAAAAGCAAATAATTCCTTGCCTATTCTAGCAACAGAAAATTAGGTTCTTCTCTCCAATCAGGCACACAGTTCATACCCTGTACCCACGTACATTCTCAACTTGTATTTTTTGTGCTCTGTCTTTTGTATGGCCATGTTCTTTGATTCTTTTAGGTTACATAGTCTGCTATCTCAGGACCAATATTTAGAGCAGGATTGCATCAGCTTGCATCTTGTTTTAATTGACTGATACCATCATGCTTTCACTGTTACTACTGCTCCAGTCTTCCAGATGTCTCTTGAACCTTCTTCTATCTCATCCTCAGTCCTTGATGCTGTCATTTATTTGAAAACTAACCACCCTCACAGGTCCGTAACACTGCTTCTTTATGACACCTGGCAAATACTTCTGTTATTTATTTATTTATTTAGGCTTCTTCTTCCAAAATCGATGATGACAAACCTCTTGCACAGGAAGGCAATAGAAATACACCTGGGGAAACTTGGATTCTCACAACTGTCTGTGAGGTACTTCAAGTGGACAGGGACCACACTTCCTAATGCCTGTGTTGTTGTGTAAGTCTCTCAGCAGCTCTGCCATCTGCAGCTGCCTCCCACCACCTCCTGGCTCAGCCTCCCCCCATATTCTTTGGTTTTGTGGGGGCACTGCCATGAAAGCACCCCAAAGGAGGTTTAGCGGGTTTCTGCATTAAAAGGACAGTGGCACATCTTTCTTGCCAGCCCATTTGCTACGGCATGGCACTCCTGGCACACTGATTAAGGCGCAGCAGCAAGCAGCACTGGAAAAGTCCATTGCTATAGAGGAAAAAATAAGGAAACGACAGAGCATGAAGCAACTTCATTTTTCTCTTATATTGAAATATGAGAAGACAGCAGCTGGCCAAAGCAGAAGACAAGCACTGCCTGGTGATTGCCAAGGGTGGGGCTATGTTTTGATTCACTAAGATCTGCTTGCAGGACTAGGCAGACCAGCAGCATGCTCTGTGTTTTTGCCTACAGTATAATGTGGAGAATTTGAGAAATAATTCCCCTAGATGATTGGATTTTTTTTTTTTTTTTTTGGTTTTTCGAGACAGGGTTTCTCTGTGTAGCTTTGCGCCTCTCCTGGAACTCACTTGGTAGCCCAGGCTGGCCTCGAACTCACAGAGATCTGCCTGGCTCTGCCTCCCGAGTGCTGGGATTAAAGGCGTGCGCCACCACCGCCCGGCCGATGATTGGATTTTAAAGATGTGGTTGCTGTGGTTTCTTCCTCTGGGTAGAAGCCAAGGAAAAATTTTATACCTCTTTATCTGAGAGCATGTGACTATAGTCGTGACTTCCGTAGGGCAAAGTTTATGCTTATTCCAATAATCTCACAGCTGTTTAACAAGTTCTGAGCACTTCTTCACAGCATGTTGGTTGCATCAGCCTACTGAACAATTATTTAGAGTTTAGAGCTCTGTGGGGCCCTGCAAAGCATATAGTATTCTTGTTTATAATTGAGCAACCACTGAGTGCACAGTAGTGTACATCTGTGGGAGTGGCTCTGTAGCTGTAGAGACATTTGCTGCATTGTGCATAATGCTTTGGAAAGGTGTGTAGTGTTAAATGTAGGAAGAAGGGTGCAGCTCGGTACAGGCATTAATCAGTCTTTTCTCGAACATTTCTAGTATTGGAAAACTAGACTAGGAACTACTGGGGCCAGGTTCAAGGCAGGGGTCGCTTCCAACTAACAAACATTTAGATAAACTTCTAAAGTGAAGTTCCTAGGTTCTGCTCTAGACTGGTATGCTTCCTAAACCTCCCCAGGTTATTTTGACAGTCATCCAGAGTCATCGAACATTAAGTATAATTTCCAATATTTTAAGTATAGCTTTGCTTTCAGGGTGTGTGCAGTCTATTGGGGGCACAGGACTTTTAGAGACACCACTCCTGTTTTCAGCCCCTTACACAGCATAGACAGCATAACTACATAAAGCAGAGGTAAAGGCCTAAGACTAGACAAATCATGAAGGAGATGGGAAGAGAACAGGCATTTTAAGTTGCAGATTAACACAAATGGAGGCTCAGAGCTGGAATAGGTAAGGTATAGCCATGTATGAGTTGGGTAGTAATAAGAAAGTAAAGAAATTAGGTGAGCTCTCACAGGATCTTAGGCTCAAGTATTTGAATTTGAGTTCTTTATGTCACAAAATAGCTGTTTATCTGGACAATTTGTTTTGTTTCTCTGCCTACCAAATGTGGAACAGTAGTTCGAGCAGGGCCATAGTTCAGTTTTATTACTATAAATGAAATGTTTGAGGCAAGCTCAATTTACAAAGAAAAGTGGTTCATTTAACTCACAGTTTCAGGGGTGCAAGAGCACAGTGCTAGCTTTGCTCCAGCTCCGGGGGTAGGGGGAGGCTCTTGGCTGAACTCCTCATGGTGGGAATGCATGAGAAAGTGAGAGATCATGGCTCAGAAACAGGAAGCCAGAGGGGCTAGAGCACTGCTGCGGCCTCTTCTGATTGCAGACTCCTGTCGACCGAAAGACCTCTCACTCGGTCCTCTTAAGTCTTTCACATAATCATTGCCACACTATGGACTGTGCAACCAACACACGAACCTTTGGGAATATATTTAAAGATGTCTAAACCCTCGCACAGGTTGTTTGGAACCACTAAGGTAGAACATATACAGACACTCCCTAAATTAGAGTCCTACCCATCAAAGAGGGACACTGAAAGTTCTAGATCAGAGGAATGAAATGTCAAAGTGTTAGGTATTTATTTTATTTATTTACAAATAAAAGAAATAGCTAAAATGAATTATCATAGTATCTTTATCATTCACGTAACAGCAGAGCTCACCATTGATAAAGGATCACCCTACCTGACCATTATGGCAACTGTAGAAGCCATACCTGAAGGAGCAGAAGGTGAGTACCATGTTTTCCAAACTCATGCATAGAGCAAGACACTCTCAATGCTTTGAAGAGTCTTTTCCTCTTATTTAATTACTTCCAGAACAAGCCATGTGTTAGCATGACTTATAACAGCTATGAGGCCATTCACTACTTGAAACATGTCTGGTGAAACTAAGTGTGCCATGACTAACAACTGATCATTTTTACCTGTTTAGAAAGTGACTTTTTGTACATGGGCATTTATATTGAAACATTTTGGTTTTTACCTGTTAGATATATGTTTATTTTAGCCAAAAATTATGTCCTTTAAAATAAAACTCAGTAGAAGCTTCGATGTAGAAAACCAGGGTTTACACTACTCTTACTGAATGAGGAGGGCTCCCACGGCTCATGAAATGAGAGAAGTACAGACTTAAAGCCACTGCTTGGATTGGGATCCAACTGACTATGTCACTTCTCTGGAGACATTTCTATCTTAAACCTTTTCTACAGTAATGCAATATAAAGCTTTAACTCTTTAGAGGAAAATTCTTACATGGTGAGCAGATTAGTAGTAGTTTATGCTGTTCTCTCTTATAGTATATTTTCTACTAAATGTCATGGAGTTTGTTTATAAATTTCACTATAGTAGCTAGAGAACAGGTGTAGTTAGTATCACATTGGAGAAGTTTGGCACTGAACAGAGCAGAGTACTTAGTGGGTACTTACTGAGTATATGTAGAATCAAGTCCCACTGTGCCTAAGGGTTTTATACATTTTTGTTTGTTTTTTACTTTTTGAGACAGTGTCTTGCTGTGTAGCCCAGGCTGGCCTCAAACTCTTTTTTGCCTCAGGTTCTTAAATGCTGGGATTACAGGTGTGTGCCAACATGCTTAGCTTGGGAGTGTCTTTCCCAAATCCTGAGAAATCAGTCACACAGACCATCATGTATTTTCTTGGACTGTACATGCAAGATGGTCTCACCCATGTGATCATTATTAATCTTTGATTATCTTCTTAGCAATTTTTTTCAAAGGCCTTCTGGGAAATAAAGTCTTTGACTAGGAAGAGGTGAAACCTTCTGAATGCAGCAAGTTACATACTATGGTTTTGAAAAGTACATGTTTTCAAGTCCCTAGGGCTTTTTGGACACATAAAAGGCTTATCCTGTGTTATAATTGAGAGATGGCTCATTCTCTGTCATAGGTTCCATGACTAGATTTTCTTTTTGTTGCTCAGTTTAGAGGCTTACTGGAGTAACTCAGCAGAACCACGAAAGCAGTAAGAGAAATATCACACTTTTAGCATTCAACCCAGTCTGTACAAAGAATGAGACTTTTTATTTTTTTTTATTTTTTATTTTTTATTTTTTTTTTTTGGTTTTTCGAGACAGGGTTTCTCTGTGTAGCTTTGTACCTCTCCTGGAACTCACTTGGTAGCCTAGGCTGGCCTCGAACTCACAGAGATCTGCCTGCCTCTGCCTCCCGAGTGCTGGGATTAAAGGCGTGCGCCACCACCGCCCGGCTTCACTTTTTAAAGATTAATGTATGAAATTATTTTATGTGACTCTAAACCTTTGGAATTAGAGGAGCACATATATTCCTTTCTTTGGAAATATTATTTGCATTCATGTTTCAGGTCAGTTTATTGTGATAATTTCAAACTCTAAAATATAATTTATTATAAAATCTTGTTATTGCTTAAAATAATGTGTTACTTATTTTTGGAGTTTTTAGTAACACAGAGAATCTCAAAGGTGACCTTTTATTATTTACTAATTAATTTTAGATAAAATATCTATAACTAAGCAGATGATTTAAACTAAATTAGAAGGTTGTTCATCTTTTTGCTATTGACAAAATAAGAATTGATTAGTGAAATTAAATATGCAAACATGGGCAGGAAAATTTTTGTACGATGACAGTAATAAGTAATAACAGCAATAACTGCCCAACGGGAAAACTTATACATTGGGTCTTACAGCTAAATGTTCTGTGATAATATCTAAATCAACTCCCTTAACAGCTATCTGGGACATATTATCCTTGTTTTACCAATAAGAAAACCAAAGTTTGAAAAAATAAAATAAGGTTCAGGTTCAGGAGCAAACTGAATTAAAACAAAGCAGGAATGTGGCTTCTTCAAAGTTACTCTGTATGTGGTAGGTCTGTGTTTACAAATGTAATAAAGTATAGGTATCTTAATATAGAAGGAACAGCAGTGACAACTTCATAATTTCAGTTATTATGTACACTTAGATATACAAAAACTTCATGTTTATATCCTCACCCTTTTGTATCAAAGAAGTAGGAATCTCAAACATTAACTGGATAGACCTTTACTATTAGAGTTGTTTAATTGTTCAAATATTTACTCACTTGTTGAGCATAGACTTACTCTTGGAGCTGATAAGAATAAAGGAATAACTCTAGTACAATTTTTTCCATTGTGTTAAGATCTGAATTCTCTTATGCTGCTGTGGGAATTTAATCCTTCAAAGCTAAATTCAGTTAGCGCAGAAATCAGAATAGCCGACTCAGCACCTTTGATGACAACAAGGGCCAGCTTGAAGTCAGTGTGTATGTGCAGAAGACCTCAGCTCTTTTGGCAGGCCATGGAAGTCTTGGATCAGGACAGCTTTATTAAAGGATGAAATTGATAGAACACACTCATGAATACAGAACCAGGGAGAGATGGAGAAAGAACAACCAAGGTCACCAAGCCCTGGCGTCAAGAAGTCTTCCAGAGTTCAAAAAGGGAAGCGCAACTCTCCCCCACAGATTGTTAAAGGGTCACATATTTTCAGAGATGACCACGCCAATTGGGCCTACCCGTTCCATTCCATTGGTCATTAGACCAAATGGCAGAATTCCCACAACACTCAGCAAAGCCACCTCAGGATCCATGGGAAATTGGTGCATCATGGCCTTGGTTGTCCGCTCTGCTGCTTTATTATCAAATAGGCCTTGTTCCATTGAGGAATCTCAAGACCTCACCATAGGGATATGCAGTGGCAGGACTCCAGAGTGCAGATTTGCTTGCTAATACCAAGAAGACTGTTAGGGTGGCCAGAGTAAATGTGGACTTCTCCACAGTTCAAAGGAGATGTGTGGCACTATTGGGCATGAAAAGATCAGGTATGCTGAGGTCAACAAAGAGCACAGATAGGAAGAAAATGATAGCTTGAGAATTTAACTTCTCTGTCAAAAGCTATTTTTAAGTTTCAAGGGTCTTAGCTGGAATGCCTGTGTGTTAAGTGTGAACAAAGGTGCAGGCTTACAGGCCTAGAGTAAAGTGTCAGTAATGTGTATTCTAGGAGCATGAACAGCCTCAGAGAAGTCTGTGGTAATCATAGGGAGTGTGTGGCATCAAGGGAAGTAGCAGATTTGTAGAAAAGAGCAGCAAGTGGCCCAGGAGGCCAGAGTCCATGCAGGCCCTCAGCAGAGCCCTTTGTGGCTTTATTAGATCCCAGGCCTCTGTAGCTCAGAGATTTGTCTGTGACCGGTCACTGGATTATCTCTAAAGTGTTGGCTGGAATGAACACATTAGTTTATACAAGGCCACATTTTCAGCAAAAACTAGTGAATTAATTATGTTGTCATGCAATTGGCAGGTGACAGTTTTTATTATGAGTCAAGGTATACCACCTTCTCATGGGTCACAGTTTCTCTGTACTCTTACTGATACAGATGTGGAACCTTACAATTTGAATTATGAGTTAAGTTGCTGGGAGCATTCTTATTCAAATTTCTTAGGATATGTTTTCATTTTCTGTAAATGTCTGGAAGTAAAATAGGTCACAGGATAAATATATTTTAATTTCAGAAAAACTTCCATACCTCTTGTGTGTTGTTTATCCCATTTATCCATAGCTTTAGAAACTATGGAAATTCAGCTACCAAGAAGAAGATAATTGAAGCAGGAAAGGATTGTCATAGAATGAGAAAAAGGACAAGTCTTGGAGCCACACTGGAAACTGCAGCCCAGTGCCATTCCTTCAGGAAGAAAGTGCTTGGCTAGAGACCCCCTCAAAGTGGAATTTTATCTTAGTTGCAATTTCATGCAACTGACAGTTTTGCATTCTGAAGTCTATGAGGGGACAGTGAGTGCTCTTAGGGCTCTGGATTGGGACATCAGAGTTTGCTCTGTCTGCACCAGCGATACACAGTTCTCCAGGAACATGTGCATGAATCTCAAGTATTTTTTTATTGAAAAGAGAAAAATGCCACCAGTGATGGTCCTGAGATGTACACGGACACCATGGATGCAGGAGGACTGGGACTCGGTCTGGTCATGATTCAACAGCACTTCCATAGACAGCAGGGAGGGCGGGAGGATAGGGAGCAAGGAGCAGGTGGTGGTCTTCAGGATTGTTGGGAACAACTTTTGTGCTCTTTATTCCACTAGAATAGCTTTAGTTGCTTCCTATCCTAACCCAGTACTTTGAAGGGAGACTACTGTCTGGTTGTCCCTCTCCTGTATTTCTAAGGTTTCTCTGGGGTCCAATCCTCAGAACTTGATTATATGAGCTCCTGGTGGCCTATGACTACACATAGTAAATAGCAGCATGGTGTTTTGGGCATGCATGCAGGGACAGTTTTGTTTTTTCTCTAATTCTAAAACACACTGTTGTTAATATAAAATGTACATGCCATGAAATGCAGGAATCTTAGGTATACATTCATGAGTTAGCACAATCATAAAAGCTTGTTCAACCCATGTTCCCATGAGAGTACCATCATTTCAGATATTTCTTTCGTTTCCCTCCTTAGGGACTTCTCACTCAATCTCCTCCAACAGAAGATTCATTATTGTTTTGTTCCTACCATAGATTATACTCTCTATTCTAGAACTTCATATAAGGGGAGCCACGTGGTATGTTCTATTCCTGTAGGATACTTTAACTTGGCATGCTGTTTTTGAGACCCACCCCCATGCTGTGTATGTTAATAATTTAGTTCTTTTCTTTTTGATGGCTAACAGTTTTATCACATGAGTATAAGACAGTTTGTTTCTCGAGTCTCTTTTTGATACATATGTGAGCCCTTTCTAATTTGACTTATGAGCAAGCTACTGTAAGCAATCTTATTTAAATCTCTTATGAGTACGTTTTCATTTTCTGTAGTACATACTTGGAAGTAAAATTTCTAGATTACAGAATAAATGCACTTTTAATTTTATAAACATTTCATACCCTTTCCAAGCCACTTATTCCATTTTGCATTTGTGTTTCCACCAGTAACACACGAGGGTACCGGTGTCCTCACAGCCCCACCACCATTCCATGTTGTGCGTCTTTTTAGTTTTACTAATTCAAGTGGTATGAAGGCATCTCATATGTTTTCACTTTGAATAGAGAAAATTCTTTAAAATTGCTTAAAAATCTGAGTGGATGTAAAGAAGAGAGAGGAAACCTGAATTTTAAGACTTATGGAGGAGATAGAATTATATGGGGAGCCCACTGGACAGATGGAAAGCTAATTTGGATAGGTGGTACTTTTCAATTTATGGAGTCCGAGTAAAGAGGATGAAGCTGGGAAATAATACCAGAATCAGCTATTTCTAAAGGTCATATTTAAGAATGGCCTCTTGGACTAGGATACGTGAGAATGGCGTACACGATGTACATGTCAGAGAGTTTGTATGTAGCTTTGGTTAAAGGAAATTATGAAATTTAGAAAAATAGAGATGAGTTAAGAGCTACAATTACAACATTATAGACCATTAGGTATGAATCTTTCTTATTTCCATGCTAGTCCTACAGATTTATTGAGGCATTTTATGTTGTAATCAAAAAGTTATAATTTAAATATACTCAAAGAAATATATAGTTATATTCATTAGTCAACAGGGTAAGAGTTAATACTTTTTATGGCCCAAATATATTTTAATATTTTTTGTAAGATGATATTCAAAGAATTTTCAAAGCTGATAAATATTTAAATTTGGGTTTTCTTTGGTTTTTTTCAGGGATTTAATATTTAAGATCACTTATTTCATTATCCTGAACATTATAAGTTGGATCTCCTTAAATAGCAGATATTATATAAAAAAGATCATTATATTAATTTCTTTTGAATCTAATTGTAGAACCCCTTGACCATCCTTCTATAAGGTCCTGTAAAACTCACAACTGTCATCGGTCTTCACCACCTTGATTAAGGAACTATAAGTAATTACTTTAACCAGTGCCTGGGAGGCTGAGGCAGGAGGATTGCAAATTCCAAGCCTGTCTGAGATCTTGTCTCAGAAACCAAACAGACAAAGCAAGGATCTTTATTTTAAAAAAGTGCTTTTGTTTCTATTTTAGGTTCTGTATTAGAAGCCACCCAGCAAGACTTTTTGCAAGAAGCAAAATCTCTTATTGCTCAACATTACAAGAGAATAAATGAGGTAGTGCTTTGCATTATTTAACGTGTTTTATTCAGAAAAATGAATAAGTGCTTTTGAATACTGTAGTGGCTAGCACAAAGAATTTCATGGACATTAATATGTGGTAGGCTCTGAGTCCTGAAGAGAATGGCACCTTCAGTAGCTTTTATAAAAACTGATTCAGATGGCATATAAAAGTAAGATCTTTTTACTTATTCAAATTATTTGATGTTATGCATGTATTTAGTCTGCACATTTGATATAATTTTAATGGTGTTAACACTTATTTGGATTTATTATCTTAAGTAAATATCTCTTTAACACTATTTAGACAAAACTGAAATAAAAATTCATGGATGCATGTCTCCTGTCCCCTCAGCCTGACATGAGTGCCTTGTCTTCTCCTGTCATTTTGCATTAGAGCTCTCTTGCCAGCCTATGGCCCTGGAGGGCCCACTGTCTCTTCTCAACTTTGCACCCCCAAAACAAGAACTGTGCTGGCTCAGCAGGTGTTGCCAGTGGCAAACAGCTGTGAGGGTTCAGGAAGGGGGCAGGGGAAAGGGTGACACAGACGACAGACAAGGGTCACAGTTTGGAGGAAAGGCTTCTCAGAGCAGGTGGGAAGACCAGGCAGCCGTTGTGGCACACAGGGGAGGGAAGGGGATCTTCAGGATGGCTTACTGTGTGCCTGCTGCTCTCTTTTCAAGTTGAGTTTTAAACAGAATTTTAATGGTGCTCCTTTTATTGGAAATAAGATTGTGCTTTTAGCTGATGTTTCTTTTGATGAACTTTTTGCTGAGAATGACCATGGTTAGTTAGCCATATAATCAATATTGTTTACAAATAATGCTAATTTTTCTCTAAAAATTTAAATTATTTTTAGTTATATTTTCTTTAGAGTAATAGGCAAGGTATATATGATGAATGTGTTTAGGGTTAGACACATACCTTGGAAATCTGACCTGCTTTAAGAGTTATATGCAATTTTGACAGCCAATATTTCCCTATTATGTTATCTGGCAAAAACAATACTTTTGCCAAAATCTTATTGATATCTTGAGTTAGTAACAGTCAGAACTGACAACAATTTAAATTTTTGTAACCTATCTGTCTATAGGGCAGATACTGTATGGACAATCACATTTTGGAGATCTGGAGCTGTATTAGTTTTCCACCGCAAATGTTGGTCAAAACTAAGAAACAAGTGATTAAACACATATAAAAAATTATATCCTGTTATCAATATGGTTTTCATGAAAGCATACCTCCATATATATTGAGTGATTTCCAGGGTAGCAGGGAAAGGTTTGGGAATTTTATTGGCAATTAAGAGTTCTCAACGGTGGTTAAAAATAATTAAATTTAAAAATTATTTTAAAATAGACTTTACTCTGAGCCTGTTTTTTTTTTTTACTTTTGAGATTATAATTTAATTATAACATTTCTCCTTTCCCTTTCCGCCTTTGAAACCCTCCCTTCCATATGCTTTCCCGTGCTCCTCTTCAAATTCAGTCTCTTTTCTTTTCGTTCCTTTTCTCTTCCTCCCTTTCCTCCTCCTCCTTCTTGTTATTGCATGCATATATGTACTGACATCTATATTCCTAAATATAGCCTGTTCAGTCTGCATAATGCTGCTTGTATGTATGTTTTCAGGGCTCACCATTTGTGTGCTTGCATTTTAAAATATCTCTTTTGAGGCGGAAGTTGCTATTTTACAATTCACTTTTCCTTTGAAGTGGATTGTAACATTCATGCTTGGGAATGGCTTTAGAGCGTGGGCTCAACTAATAACTGTCATGCATATTGCAGTAAATGTCTTCTATAGCAAGACACTTTGGAAAATGCAGTCAGTGAAGACATGATTTTATCTTTACAAAATTTACTCACAAAATTTACTATGCAATTTTAATGAATTTTAAATTTTTATTTTTTGTTTTATTTATAGAATAAGCCTCAAGTTACTTCTATAAATGTTTTTAAAAATAAACACCAAAAGCCAAAAACTGGCAGGTTCATACCTTTTGAGATTAAAAAAAGTGAAATCCTTGATATAGTTCAAGAACATCGGATGGTACTCAGAAGCATTAACTATCCCAAAGAGACTTTCAAATGCCCACCTTCAAAGGAAGACTCAGAGCAAATTTCCTCATCGAAGCCACATGTTTTGAATTTAAAAGAGAAGTACCAGCCTGAAGATCCTTTACAAAAAGGTGAGCTTTCATTGGAGGCACTAAAGTCAGAAACCAACACATGGGACTATTTACTCTTTGTTAACTTGAAATGAGGTTGCCTGCTTCAGACAACATCTAGAACTTTATATTTAGCAATGAAAGTTGAAGAGGATGACCAGAGGCGCTTTCAACCTTCAGTCCACCAGAAGCTGTGATGAGAGCATCCTGATGGGGAAGGGGAACTTGGGACCCAGAACTGACTCACGCATTTTCTATCAGCAGCATTTTTTTTTCTAGTATAGATCATTCAAGAATGTTTATTTCCCTGGTACTAATCAGCTTGAGTTCCATTGAGAGGGATGGCTATGGCAGGTAGCCTCTTCTAAGGATGTTTTCCCAGATCCTAAACAGAATTCCCAGGCTATAGAGTTTTCTGTAAGGCAAATGTTAGTTAGTTAGTTAAAATAGTTAGTTACTATTAGAAGCATAGTAAGGTGGAAGACTCAGTTCCTTTTAAACAGAGTTGATACTGTTTTCTTCATAATAACAGCTTAAATAAATGACCTCACAGCACATTTCTAGTTACAGTAGTGAAAGCCTCCTGTTAACTTAGGTATTTCTAAAATACTTGCTAAGTCATTCATCTATTTGTAGTTTTTTCATTCAACAAAAATGATCTTTTCTTATCCCATTGCATGACAATTGCTGGGCTAGAGGTAAAAGCAAAGTGTGTGGAAACACTAAGGAGTAATTAATTAAGGAGTAACAAATTAAGGAGTAACAAATTAAGGAGTAACAAGTTCAGGCCAGAATGAAAGTTCACCATCACAGATATCACTAGAAATAGGTTTTAAGATGTTTCTTTAGAGATAGGTTGGGAGATAATCCATATTGAAGAGTAGAAGCAAAATGTATCAATCCCCAGGAGGGTGAAAGATCATAATATATGCTAGGAAATGAAGTTGGGAGGAGAGATGGGACAAATTTTGAGGCACCTAATAAATAGCATAGAGTTTGAACCTATGCTTTATAAATGCTACTCATGATTCTAAAGCCATGGTGAGGCATAACTAGATATTTCTGTTAAAAAAATAAAACTGGAAACAGAGAGCCTATGGAGAAATCTATTACTGTAGTAATCTATTTATTATTTTTATTCCCAATTCAGCTGACCAAGAATACCCTTGTCTTAATTACTTTTCAATTGCTGTGGCAAACCACCATGACCAAGGCAACTTGTAAAAGAAAGCATTTAATTTGGGTATATGGTTTCAGGGGCTTTCAGTCCAATGACCATCATGTCATATTGGAGAGCATGGCAGCAGACAGACAGAAATGTCATTGGAACAGTAACTGAGAGCTTGATCCATAAGCATCAGGAAGAGAGAGCAAGAGACATTGAAAATGGTGCTGGGCTTTTGAAATGTCAAAGCTCACTCCCAGTGATGTGCCTATTCTACCAGGGCCACACCTCCTAATCCTTCCTAAACAGTTTCACCAACTGGGAACCAAATATTCAACCAGATGAGCCCATGGGGCCATTGTTCTCATTCAAACAACCACCAACCACCACCCCTCACCTCCTTTCTCACATATTGTGCCTGTCAGTCCTTGAAGCTATTGTTTCTTTAAATATATGTCAGTAAATTCAGAATTAGAACTGTAAGATGAATAAACAGTTTTTAAAAATTTAGCAAGATAAAGTGGAGGCATGAAGATATTAAGGTTTGAAACTAGAAAACTGAGCAGATATTACTGATTTGAGAAAAGAATAAGAGTATTCTGTAATCTGTTTCTGTTGCTACAAAAGAATACCTGAGTGGGTGTGTGTGTGTGTGTGTGTGTGTGTGTGTGTGTGTGTGTGTGTGTATGTATTTCACACAGTTATGGAGGCTTCAAAAACAGAAATATAATATTTAATGAATGTAAGATGAATTGCTAAACGGTCTTATAAATAAAAAAAACCTAGAGCGAGATATTGGGGTTAAAACTGAGAGATCAGAGGAATAGGACAAGCTACAGCCAACCTCACCTTGCTGACGCCTCAGTCTCCAAAGAGATCTACTTCCTGTATACCCATTTCTATATGCCGTTCTGTCCCTGCAATCCTCACTTCCTCTCTCTGCCCTGCTACATCACTTCTTCTTCCTGCCCAGCTCTGTCACTTCCTGTCTGTCTGTACAGACATCCAGACCTTTATGGTTAACTAGTGTTGGAATTTAAGGCATATATCACCACACCTGGCTCTGTTTCCAGTATAGCCTTGAACTCACAGAGATCTGGATGGATCTCTGCCTCCCAAATTCTAGGACTAAAGGCATGTGCTACCATTGCCTGACTTTTATGATTAATATAGTGGCTGTCTTTTTCCTCTGATCCTCAGATAAGCTTTATTAGGGTGCACAGTATATTGGGGAACACAATATATCAGCACAAATGAAGGCTTTGGCCCTGCTTCCTAGTAATGCTGCATTATCTGGAGGGAATGAAAGCTATGCCCTCACTTGGTAGAGAATGAAGCCCTTAGGACTTCACCACTCCTCAAAATCCCCACACCTTGATAATTAGATCTCAGGTTCAAATGTAAATTTTGGAGGGACACAAACATTCAAACCATATTAGGGGAAATTTAGATAGTAAGTGGGTGGGGAAAGAAATAAAGGAAGCTAAAAAAAAATCACTTTTAGATCTGCTAAGTAGGCATACATATTGAGATAGCCATTAGGAAGTTGGGAAAGGAAGTATGGTACTTAAGAGAACAGTAGATAAAGACTGAATATTAAAATCTCTCTTTGTGGGTCATTAATGTACTGAAATTGCGTGATTCATGCATTTGGTAAATCCATTTATTTATCATTTAATGTATAAGGAGATTAAAATCTATACCAGTTCTGATCTAGAAATTCATACTTGATGTATGTAATTTGTATGATCTTTGCTGAAGTAAGGTATATAAACATGAGCATATAGCATGGATGATACTATAAATAGAAGCGAGCTCTGCTGCTTTGAAATCAATAGAAGAATATCACATCAGATTGGGCAGTCAGGCATGTATTCCAGGAACTTTAAAGTGTCTGGTAAATTCTGAAGGATATTTGTTAATATAAGTAAGAAGGACCATCCTATCTAGCATGCCAGATGCTAGATAACATGAAAATGAGTGGGCAGTCTTCAAGGGAACTGGAATCTGATGACTAGGGGGTCTGAGAAATGACACTAGATATTGATGAACATTGAACTTTAACCTGAAAGTAGAGGAATAATCCAAATACTTTTAAGAAAAACTGCAGTTGGAATGTTTACAGTCAGCAGAGAAAGGGAGGTGTGCATTTTCTAGGCATGGAGATGAGTAAGGAGAGATTGCTTCCGTTACCGTAGGATGACTTCAATTAAGAGGGTAGCACCTGGGGGTTAAAATAAGAGGAAAGATTCTCCAGATATCAGAAGGTAGAGTGACCTATTAGTCAACAACACAACAGAGAATAAGAAAGAGGGCAAGTGCGACTTCTCTAGTTATTTCTACTGAGGCAGCATGAAGCCGTTTACGGAAGTCAGTATGTAGTAATTTAGAAGGTCAGGAGCACACCTTATGTGATGGTAGACCCACTACCAGGGATAAGTAGATCATGTGCTCCTGAGTATTGTAGCTTCAGGTGAAGAAACTCAGAAATAGTATTAAAAATGTTAGTGGTTCTGTCTGCCTTTAAAAACTAATGGACAAAAGAGGCATTGGACCAAGAAAAACACTGCCTCGTTTGCAATGACAAATCAAAGTTTGAGCCTTTGGTTTGGATCTAAATCTCCAACAAGAATTACCATTGCAGCAAAAAAAAAAAAAAAAAAAAAAAAAACTACTAAGGATGCGTCTTTTACAACCTACCCCATTATGTTAGATAACCCCGGGGCAGTCACCTTTGAGAGACTATAGCAAGGGGTAAGAAAACAAAGTATGCTTTAGAACTATGAATACAAAGAGACTTTGAATGTGCTTATTGGCATGTAGAATTAATTGGAAGCAAATAGATCAGAAATACCAATTTTAAAAGAAAATTCCTTTACTGAAGAAATTCTGAGCCTAGGTTTAGTTGAGTGTTCAAAAAGTAAAATAACATGCAGGAAGTGAACTGAACTACTTGTGTAGCCTCCAGGAAGGTTAACAACAAGAGGTGACTGGGGGGCCAGTCAGAAACTTGTTAGTGAGTAAGGAGTGACCCCTAGAAAGAACTTCCCACCGCAGGCTAGAAGAGACTTCGAAGCACCTGCACAGCAGGTTCTGCACCTTCTGTGGACCAGTGGCTGCCGTGTCTTCTTTCCCTGTGGTTCTGTCGCATGCTGTGTGCTTTATCGGGAAGATGGCGATAACTTTTGTACTTGTTCTCACATCACTAGAGCACTGGGAGCCACTAATCAATCTGACAGGAATGCTAAGGTTGGATTCAGAGCTGAATGTCATGCCTCTGAGAACTCTAGGCTGTTTCCTTGTGGAAAGAAAGTATTTTCTTTCAGGGACCAAGAATTAATGGGTATTTGGTGTTCAGAAGGCCAGACTAGAAGAGACTGGTAGGTACTCACCAGATAATATCTTTTTCTTCCTTAGTACTCATCTGAAATCAATTTCTTCAATTTCTTGAAGTTAGTTGGTGCTGTATGGCAGTTGGAACTCAAGGGATAATGCTAGAGATGATGTACACCCATGAAATTCTGTGTTCTCCCAGGAGACTCCCTACCTTTTCAAGCATGAGAACTCCCTTTAAATTTTCTTACAGTTGTTTTCCTTATGTGAGGATAGTAATAGGAATTTAAATATCTGTTGACTAGCAACACTTTGTTCAGAGATTCAGCATATATACAAAAGTCAGTGCAGAGACTACACAGGTGAGAAAAACTGGATCTGAATTATATTCTTATAACACTATCACACCAGGTGGAAAAATAAATACCGGTTAAATAATCAGGTGCAGAATGAGAGAGTGTAACAATTGAGTAAGACTAAACAGAGAGTGATATTTGAGCTAAGGTGTAAGAAATGAGCATGA